AAGTGAGTGTGAATTCAGCTGAAGTGAGACATTTGTGCATGGCAAAGTAGGATTTCAGGATAAACTATCTTCAAAGTAGAGATCCAGCCAGGCAGGTAGCAGGACAGAGTAGAAAAAATCCAAAGTTTATAGTGAATCTCAGCCTCATTCCAAAAGGAGAATGTAGGAGTAAATAGTATAAAAGCCAGAATCCTCATGCCAAAACTCTGGAGGTTTCATGTCCCAGGGAGGGGTCTGAAGGGAAAAGATTGAGGTTGGCTTCCCTTTCCCTTTTGGGGAAAAGGACTCTCAGTTGAGTAATTGGTGCCTGTGCACATTGAGGCAAAATCTTTCTCCTTCAGTCCATGAGATCAAACATCAGTCTCTTCAGGAAATACTCTTGCAGATATACTTAGGAATAATTATATGCTATCTGTCTAGGTATTCCTTAATCTAGCAAAAGTGACACTTCAAAATTAAGGACTGCAGTGCTTACGTTCTATAACAGAAAATGGCAGTGCCATTTTAGTTATTAAGCATTATTATTAATCACATGAAAATAATTAAGACAAGGTGAAATGGCTGCTCAGTGAAGGAGTTTGCTGTGTGTGTGTGCAAGGGAGTGTGGTTGAATAAATCCACTGAAGCAAAGTAGGAGTTAACAGGAGAGTAGGCATAGGGACAAGGCCTTATAAAGACATGCTATTTGAACAGCTAAAATTAAAAAAGAAAGAAACCATCACAAATAATGTTAGATATGTTATTGAAGAAGAACCAGTCTTAATCAACTCTCAACCCTGTATACTACAGTGATAACTGTTGTGGCAAGACATGCCCACATGTGTGATTGTGGTGGTAGCATCATGAATATAAACAAGCATTTTCTGATTGTGTTTAGGTCAAGGTCCACAAGATGAAACTCTACCTGACACTATTATTGGGCCCAGAATCCACAGCCAAACCACCTGCTATTATTTTATTGAATGAGCATAGTACTGGTTTATCATTATGCCCAGAGACTAATGCAGTTCACCATCCTTCTTTTGTAGCTGAGAGCTACCAAAATAATGAACCACAACTGGCAAAGTTACAGATAAAAACACTGCTTGATGCTCAAACCTAAATGAGACATGTATACCAAATACCTTCTTCTCAAGTCTTGGAGATCATTCTGGAAAAAGGACATCAAGAATGTAAGAGCTAATGACAGTGGTTGGACTACAAGGAAACAGTGGCTTCTGAACACAGCAAGGAATTTTTGTAATAGTATGTTTTAAATAAAATTGCTATGAATTATTTTAACAACCCAATAATTTACCATAGTCAGAAATAATATCAGAGTTATACCAACAGAAAAGACTTTTCTTAACATTTCTTTCTTTGGAGATGGAATCTCAAAAACAAAAAGATTCAGATGACTGGAAATCCAAGGAGACTGCTTCACCAGAGTCATGGGACTGATGATGCTTTGATGTTAACTAATCAAATTCCATTTCAGATGTATTACCTCTAAAAATGAAGATGATAAACATGCTTCATTTTAAATTACCTTTTATTTTACATGTTTTTGGGAGTCAGGGAGAGCATATATCCCATACATCGATATAACAGGTCTGTGGTGTTGGGTCCTTCTTTACACCATCTGGGTCTTGTTGATTCAGCCCCATTGTTCAGGCTTGGTGGTCAGTGCCTTCACCTACTGAGCCAATCTATCTGGCCTTTGGCTTACTTTAAATCATGAAATGAGGACTGATAGGTGTTATCAATACTCATAAGGTATAAAATGGGATTATGTGCCATTCAGCAACCACATGGTGAATAAGCAATGAGAATAATTAGAAGCAAAGATAACACTTGGGTGGGTACTTTGTTGTTCAGATGAGAGATTTTGTTGACAGAAAAATGAAAAATAGGATTAAGAGTCACAGTCAGGATGCATTTTAATTTCAAAAGACAGAATTTGATGCTGAACTTGAGGCAAGCCAAAGTAAGTAGGTAGTAGCCATTACTATATTCACAAAATTAGTTTGTAACTGAAGGATAAATTGTGGCCAAACTTACTGTCATAAATTAAGGATGTAGTAGCTGCTATAAGGAACCTTGTCAATGCTTAACACATGAGCCTTGTTATCATTGTGTTTTTATCACTGTGCAAGCCACATTGAATATAAAATTCTTAAGAAGTTCACTAGTTTTCCTAGGAGGACGACTGAACTATATAATAAGTTCCTGTGCCAGGCTAATATTCACTATGAGATCCTGTTTCCCCATCCAAATTATTTTAAATTTTCCAATTTTAAAAAATTAGAGTGTACTTACATCATTTTTTCTACTCCTCTCTCTAAGCCTTCCATTTTTCTGTTCCACTCACTCAAAAACTCATCTTCTCTATTCTTTAATTATTATTAATATATGTCTTGGCTAGTATTATGTCAACTGACACAAGCTAAAGTCATCTGATAGAAGGGAACATCAACCGAAAGAAAAAAGTAATGCTCCCATAAAATTATCCTAGAGACAGGAAAGCCTGTAGGGCATTATAGTAGGAAATTACCAATATGGAGCCAAGTAGAAATATAAGGGTATTTAATAGGGAAAAGCCTTACTT